AACCACCTAGGGTTTATAGCTTGAGCAGTATAAAAATTCTTACATAATTTCGTATATTGTTATTAAATGTGGAGAATTTAAATTGCTTGAACTTATTTTAGAAATTTTCTGTGAATGGTTTTGTAGTTTAATCATGTTTCAGTGCTATCAAATAAGCATGTTAATTTATATATTTCAATTATGCTTATTAGGGAGTAATTGATGTTTGCATATATCATCTGTATTATCAATTATTGGATTATGTAGAGTAGTATCAAATAGGCATGTTAATTTACATAATTTTATTATGCTTATTCTGGATCAATTGATGCTTACATTTATTTTCTGTATTATCGATTGTTGGATTTACGGATTATATGCACCGGTATGGGACGGTGGCATACTAAGTATGGATTAGTTAAAAACGTTAAGTCTTCCCAACTCTGGATAAATGAATGGATTAACTATAAGGTTAAATCCTACGGATATGTCGTGTCAAGACAACGAACAGTTTAGCGGCACTACTTTGGTTTGGATGGATTTTAAATATAGAATTATGGTACCTTGATGTGAGCTTGAGTCTCAGAATCGACGGTTAGAGAGCGTATATGCATTGGGATGCATAGCTGGCTATGATGGTTGGAGGCGTACCCTGTTAGGTCTAGGTACTTATGCCCACTTCAGGTGTGTTTTGCATATTGCATACTAGTCAGGTTGAGACTGGCATGTAGTTCAGTGAAAGTCCTTTAGTGTGGATATATATATGTACGGACTATATAGTTATTGTTGAGTTGTTTAGAATGTACATGCGTATCGGGTCTCTATTTGGATTGTAATAGAGTAGAACTTGCTCGTGGGCCTGACCCACTCTTATTTTTTAGATGTTCGTCAGTTCCAAGTTTAAAGCTTGTTCGTACTGAGCAGAGACAGTCAATCATTCTTCCGACTACGTAGGATTTCTTTTCATGGTTTAGCTTTGGATTTTATTTCAGTTATTTACTGTTCAGTTTGGGATTATTAGGGGTCCACTAGATGGATTCCTGAGTTGTTTAATTATTAAGGTTTTGGATTATTGAATTTTAATTATTTAATTTTAAGGATTTATATTTTAGATTTCTTTCAGTTTTTATTATTTATTTCTTGTTATTGTTTTGTACTCCGTATTCATTTATATACTTAATTATCTGGTATCCCTCGGATCTGTGCTCGGACTTGATCACCCGTGACTCTAGAATCGAGGTGTATCACATATAAGAACATACATATATAAGTTACCTATTTTTGGACAATAACACCCCCTCAAGTTTGATAAAGTTGACAAAGACACCCTAACAATGGTGAATTGACTTTATTACGCTTTGAAACATTAAATTTTCAATTTAAACAATACAACCTTTTTTTATTAACTTAAATATTCTTGGATCAAATTGGTGTAAATGGGTTACTGGGTACAACCCACTGAGAAACCCAATTTTTCTCTCTCCTCATTTTCTTCTCTTTCCTCTCTCAAACCCTAGCCTAAACAAGCTGCCATTGTCTCTCCCTCAAAACCACCACCATCGCCACCAATAAAGTCATTTTTGTACACTTCTTATCGAATGAACCATCACCACCATCTCCATTCCCACAACCACCACCATGGTCTCCATCCCCAAAATCACCCACCATGATAGGACTTTTTGACATTTTTGAACGGCAGCCTCATGACGGCGGTGATGTGGGACGCTGGCTTTAAGACGGTGGTAAGAGCTCCGTTCGCCACTTCTCCAACTTCGACCGCAGCCCTTCCACGCTCTTGTCCAATCTCCACCCATCCAACACCAAGCTCCCATTGTCGTCCAGAGGGCACATCTCCCCCACCATCACCGGCGCCATCTCCAACGATGACAAACCCACTTCTGAATCTAACCAAATTGAACTAGGTTTCCCTGGGGCTCCGAATATGAGCTTCCCTTTCGGCTTTGACGTCTTTGAATGGTGGCTTAAAGACGGCGGCGGCTTCTTCACCACAATGAGGGCCCCGATCGGAGCTCCGTCCGCCACCTCTCCAACTTCGACCGCAACCCTTCCACGTTCTAGTCAAAGCTCCACCCATCCAACACCGAGCTCCCATTGTCGTCCAAACGGCACCTCTCCCTCGCCACCTCCGACGACGACGGACCCACTTTCGAATCCAACCAAATCAAATTTTGGATTTACATTATACATATACACATAGAAATATGCATATGTATATAAATAAATAGAGGTGTAATTAGTGCATAAGGGTAAAAAGTCATTTAAGAGTTTTGATATTTTATAATTTAAATTAATAAAATATTAAAGGGCAATCTAGAATTTTTATAATTTTTAAAGGGCTGTTTTGATTCAATTTTTGACGAGGAGGTGTCATTGTCTAAAAATAGGACCACTTGTATATGTCTGGCTTATGCCAAATCTCAGGGTGTCATTGTACTTTAAACAAATTTTAAAATATAATTTAAATTTATAAATATGTTTAAGAAGTATCTATCCGAAGATTACAGTACGAATCACACGATACGAGTACGTCAACTTTGTAGAAGTATTCATTTTCACTGTTCATGCAAATTTTAATGGCAAGATTAATTTCCGAGATTAAAGGAAGATAAAGACAGAATTGATTGAGGATTCAACTCGAATTACAATCAGTGCTGAGAATATAGAGGACTGCAAGAGATTCATGATTGATGCATCTCAAATGAATTGAATCTTAAATTAATTTTGACAGGAAATAATTATGAAAAGAAAATAATTTTTTCTTCACATTCCGACAACGTATTAAGTGGAAGAATTTCATTTTTTACATGGAAGTCCAATATTGACATAAATTGATGCACCAATCAATGTGAGTCAATGTTGATGCTTGAATCACAAGTGTTTTAGTTATATGTCTTTTAACCTTAACTTACATTTTTAAAACTTATAATCAAGAGTACAAGGGCAAGCCTTACCAAATATATGATAAAATTATTTTGATATATATGTCAAGTACGTCTTGACCATGTAGACAATAATCCCCAAACAATCAGCTGTTTAGACTTAAAGATATAGTTAATTAAATCATAGATTATAGATTGTATACGTATCAAGATTATATATACACACACATCATTTTAACTTACCACACACATATTATATGTTTATAGTTTGTGGTGGCGCATAACTTTCATATTCTTGTCAAATAACCAACAGAAAGCTTGTTTACTGGATAAAGAATGGTTTATTTATTGATATTTATTAATTCACGAAATCATGCACTTTCTAAAATAGATTAAATTTGTCAAACTTAGTTGCCTCGATCCATATTTTAGTCCTGAGATTACCTTCTATAGAGAAAGACTTCTAGAAGCATTCTCACGTGCAAACATCTATCGAACTTCCGGCTGCAAGCCCAACAGTTTGAGACTCCATTTCATAACGACTGCTGGTATCTGGCTCGAGGTTCATTGTTTTTGTCTATGTTATAAAAACATGATTCATCATATTTGTCAATTTATAATATTTTTTCAATGATACAACATTGTAACAAACTTTTATAAAGCCGTTAATTTAATCAATTTATATTTATATTTATATTTATCCGAATTCATTATACTACAAACAATACTACAATAGTAAATCTTGCATAAAAGGCGCATCCTTTTTTTCATTAAACACTAATTTATTTATTTTTGATAAAAAGAGACGTCTCAATTCAATAAGTGATATCAAACAAGTGATATCAGATCCTCCGAACATTGGTTCGGTTTGGGAGGCGGGAGGGACTATTGGCTCCACGGCCTGGTGTCCTTCCCTCATTGGTGTGGAATCGATTATGCAATTGTGATCACGGGGACGTCGCTCCAAGTATTTATATTTTGTGATTAAGAAACGCTTCTAGAAGCCCGTGGTTTGTTACATGACACAGGCACACACTTCACTTATGCACTAGGATGGCCCCACCACCCATGGTAAAAGATGAACTGTCATTGTCAGTTTCTTCTTTCTATACATATATATATATATATATATATATGGAGACTAAAATCATAAATTTCTCCCCTTATTTTTAAAAATATCATATAACCTTTTCAATTACCGAATAATTCTTTAACTTATAATAATACCCTAAATAGTATATTAATATTTTATGAAATTAAAATTTTAATGTGAGAATGGTAATTTTGTCATTACAAATTATAAGATTATTTTAATCAGTAAAATGATGCAATTGTTGTACGTAATTGCCACGTGACACAACCCCGTGATCCTGTTAGTTTTAGACGAAAATTTAACAAGAAAAGTGACCTAATAGATTTTTAAAATATATATAATATTTTCTTTCGTAGATACTTTTTGAAAATAAGAAAAAATTTTATGATTTTAGCCCTTATAATATATATGATACGATAATTGATACAACTAAGAAAAAAATATATGAGTGCACGTACTCCTCCGGAAGAGAAGAGGATCATACCTCAACTTTCTAGAAGCCCAATACTTGCAAACAACAATTAACTCTAACATAACAGATTTATTCAGAGTAATGACCCTCTAGTAGATAGAGTTCAATGAATCGAGACACTTTCGTTTTTATATGTTTTTGTTAATTATTAATTGTCAAGTATGTTGCATAATCAGATAGAATAAAAGTTATCAGTTATATTATTTTTTATATTTTTATAAAAAATCATTCTAATCTTTTAACAAATTTAAAATAAATTTCTGTGAGAAAATCAAAGTATAAACAAATATTATAAATTGTATAATTGTAATATAAATATTATTGTTAAATTTTAAAATAATAACGAAAAATGAATGAAACTAAATAATAAATAGAAAAATAGGGAGGAATTCAAAATCCAATTTTTTCTTACCACCGTATCCGATAGCCAAAGAAACAAATCTTCTAGAAGCAAAAAAATAAATAAAAAATTGGTGCCACGTCTGTAGTTAAACAGCTGGCATTGAACGGTATGTCGAAACAGCCAAAAGGCCAAAAAAGGCTGGCGCCCCTTTATTTTCTCCCTCTAAAAATTACTCTCCACAATCAAGATTCCCTCTGACCTCTATAAAACTACGCCCTTTCCTACCCCCCGCAAAACATCTCGCTTCAAATTTTCTCAACTCGTAAACACCTTCTTTTGATATTCACATCTTAAACACTCTCAATGATCGGAACCCTAACTCTCCCAACCGCAACATCCCTCCGATTCTCGGCGGGAAGACGCTTCTCTCTCGCCGGAACGGCTGGATCTCACCGGAAAATACATTTTACCCGCCGGAACACTTGTAAAGCTGCGATTCATGCATTCGCCGAAGCGGTAACGACGGTGGATGTGAGGAAATCGGCAAGCCTGTACGAGGTGCTTCGAGTCCGGCAAAATGCGTCGCCGACGGAGATAAAGACGGCGTACCGGAATCTGGCGAAGCTGTACCATCCGGATGCTTCGCATTCCGAATCGGACGGCCATGATTTCATCGAGATTCACAACGCGTACGAGACTCTGTCTGATCCGACGGCCAGGGCACTGTATGATTTGTCTTTGAGTGCCGCGTCGGGGCGGCGATCCTCTGGTTACTCCGCTATGAATCGGTCCGGGTTTTACCCGACCTGGAGATGGGAAACGGATCAGTGTTGGTAGAAATAATTGTAGATTTATATATATAACCCATGAATTTTCGGTGCTTTTTATTTTTTCCGGAAATGGTTAATGCCACATGTAATGATGTTTGTATACAATGTGGCAAGGTACATAAATGTAAATAACAAAAAAATTTCATGAGATATGCCCAATTTGGGAATTTTTATGTTTCCTATTAAGTTTAAAATCAGAAAAATTTACTATATATGAATGTTTGTCATGAAAGCCCTTTGAAGGGTTTATAGGTTGTGTTTGGAGGAGTTTCCTGATACTAAAAGTCCTTTCACTGTAAAGGACATGCAAAAATGACTTTGTAGGAATGAATTTGAGAGCAAAAAGCTGTGTAAACATCACTATTGAGAAGTCCTATGATTTTGTACGTTTGGTCGCAAAATGACCAAAGTCCTTTGAGCATTAAATAATTGCAAATTTACAATAATATCCTTATATGTAGCAAAAATAACGGAACTTCCACGTATTCAGAAGTCCATTTTCCATGTTTTGCCAAACACTCAATATTTTTCATAATGGACTTCCTAGGTTTGGAAGCCCGTTTCAGCCCCTAGAAAGCCCAGCCAACATAGCCAAAAGCTCCTAATTTTCACCTTTCTAAAAAATAAAAATAGAAGGTCCCTAATTTGTGAGACAATTTGCTTTAAAACTAACAACTTTTCTTCGGTGATAACTATAGTTTTAAATTTCAAATTTTTAATTGTTATATTTTCAATCGACATCAATTCAATGATAACTCTAATTTTTATTATTATTATTATTTTAAAACTTAATTCACTTCTTACTATGTTCCTTCTTTCGTTTTCTTATTTAATTTAATTTATTAGTGAAAGAACACATCACTCCGAAGACATCTAACACTGTATTTTAATAGTTGATAAAATTTTATTGCATATAACCGACACATCTAACCATGTATTTTAATCATTCATACACGACGTGTGCAACAGACGCATTCACGACTTGTGTATCGGACGCATCAAACCGTGTATTTTAACCATTCATACTAATGAGTACTGCATCTTCAGAATTGTAACCCTCCCATAGCATATAAGCTACTAATACGTTTTTTCCAGAGCGAGTTCGCCACCAACTCCCACAATAAACAAACGAAACTAGAGAGTTCGATCAAAATGAATTTTTGTTTTGACTAAACAATTATGGATAACTTGACAATTTCAATTTGAATCGACTACTTCGGTATATTTTCCACATCATAGGAGTGCATCTATGTTTCTACTTTGCGAATATGATATTTTTTGGGCATTTCTAATAATATCAAGTATTATTCTTATCTTGGCATTTTTCATTTCCGGAGTTTTAGCTCCGATTAGCACAAGAGAAACTTTCTAGTTATGAATAGGGTATAGAACCAATGGGCGACGCTTGGTTACAATTGTAGTGGCACCATCCACTAAAATTTGTCCCTTTTTAATGCATTTACGCCGCTTATCCCGAGGTTTTTGATGCATACAAGTATTTTTGTTGGAACATTGATACATAACTAATGGAATGCTTAGAGTATTTCCATTACTTGATAAAACTACCTTATATTTCTCTCGTGTTTGACTATAACCAAAGCCCCTCCTGAATTTAGAGTCGCTTGGCATTTCAACCCAATTCCAACAATGCTCTTCTCAGACTGAGAAAGCGGAACTACCGTTGCATATTAGAATTCATTAAAGCCCGATACACGATGTACGTGTGTAATGCATGGGCATATATATTACAAGAACAATCCAAATATGCCATTGCACGGGCACAACAGAATTAGAGTAACGAAGTTTTTCTCAACGTCGGGAACTCAATTTAACGATTAATTTCTCAACACATTACCAACTTAATTTCATGTTCATCACATTCAAGCAGAAGCAAAAAAGAAAAATTATCAGCCTTATTTAAGTGTTGGAAATATCGAGAAAAATTAATTCACAACCCAGCGATTTTATTTTTATTTTCTCCTTAAAATCAATAAATTTGTCGTTTTTGGCCGAACTTTCGGAGAGAGACAAAAAGAGCGAGGGAGCACATGAGACATTATCAAAGCTCATCAGGGAGGATTTATAAATGTACAAAACCAGTATATGATTTATAATTATCAAAGCTCATTAGGGACCATTACAATTAAACAAAATAAAATAAAATAGAAGTAAACAAATTTTATTCAGATGTACAAAACCAGTATATGATTGGCATCAACTCCAGTTATTACCACAAATGTACAGTGCATACAATGTAACCTCGCTCAACATGGCTCAAGAAAAAAAGACAAAAATAAATGAAATTAAAACCGACAGAAACTTCTATTCAGTCCACGCCGACAATCCCAAGGAAAAAAAAGAAAGACAAGTTACATAGCGAAAAGCTTTAAAGTTTATTTTTACTAAAACTCAAAAACCTATAAGAATTCCTATTATTAATGCAAGACGTGTAAAATCAGGTACATTTTCTCTCTAATTGCTCAATAACATATACTATATTTTATATATAACAACAAATGGTGCACTTTTACTATCAGCAGCCTGAATAACTAAAACCCTCCTCTTTTGGAGCAAAATTTTGTTAGATGTACAATTGTATTTAATCACTACAAGATGGAAGATAGGTATGACATTTGGTGAACCATTCAAAGGGTAAAATTCCCCTTAGACAAATCCATTGGGTCTCTCTCCACTGCTTGCCGCCGATCGCTTCTCATCATAATGTGCAAAAGCAGCATCTAGAGCCTGCACCAAAATGGGCCTTGTCCATGAGTCATAGGTGTCAAAAAGGAGCAACAACACACACCAAATTATTTTATAGTGATAAATGCACAATTGTTTCACGAAGACGTCTGTAACCAGCCCGAAAGATGATAGAATTTGAATCCATGTAACCCGCTCAATAATGATGATAACTTTAAACGAGATCCAGCTAAAAGTGGGTTTGCATTACATGTTTACTACGCATAAGGCCAGATGTAGATTCTATTATAATCTTATTCATAAATGTTGTGCACTAAAACCCTGCACTTGTACTGAATATGGAATACAAGTGTTTACCTGAAGCATTGGTTGAACAAGGAGTGAAACTTGATGCCTGAAATCTGATGGTACTGATTCCTTGATGTCCTGAAATTCAATAAAGACACAAGAAAACTAATAAGATAATGCAGGAAACAAAATTTTAGAACATGCACCTCATAGAAGGCAGACAAAATGTGGCAGAAATTCCCCATCTTTCGCATGAAAACTTACAGGATTTTATATTTCATATTCCATTCATTGATTTCAGCATACATGCATCAACAATAAAAATATTTATGGGTTTGCTAAATATGTAAAAAAAAACTCCATAATCTGTAAACTTCAACCCTTGGTGATGCAAACCTTCATATGCTTTAAAGGGTTCATATATATGGTGAATGGTAATTTGGCCCTACAAATGATCTTAACTTGCAAAATCTTTGTAAACTTATAGCTTTAAAAACAAATATATCTGATGCAGCATCTTTGAAAGTTAGGCATGCATCAAAACAATAATACCGAAGACCTCATGAAAGTATGCTAGTAATGCAACTATTAATTTTCCTGATTCCTTGCCTGACGTGATGACTCTTATACTGTAGCAAGTGGAGCTATAGTTTGTGAAGTACAAGAGTATAGATGGAAGGGAAAAAATCCAATTTAAACCTTTGACTTGGCATATGAACTGTGTAAGTAATGCAACATTTTATAAGTATCATAACCATGTAGTGGAAAGCAACTGCCCTATTTTTGAAACATGATCACCAAGTGACGAAGAAAATGAATTTAAAAAATTCAAACTTAATACCCAAGATAGGTTCAGGCAAAGAATCAGAGGTAGCACAAAATCATTACCAGAGAATAAAGGCAAAACAACACAAAACATGTGATAATAGGCAGTGAAGAAATCAAAACTAAAAAATGATCATTTTGCAAGAAGGGTACCTGTAGCTTCTGATAGATTTGTGACAATGCATCCTTCAGCCTGCTTACCTGCAGATAAAACGACAAAAAAGCATAAAGTAATGCCAAATTCATAGAATCAGAAGGATACTTGATCTACAAAATTGGAAAAAGATAAGAGAATTCCGGAACAAAGCCATGTTATTATTTTTTACATCCACACTCTTTAATCATTATGTATACTACACATCAGGACAACCTCTGGTGCCAAACTTTTTATCCCGGAGGGGACCTGTAGCTTCGGATAGATTAGTGACACAACCAAGCTGCTTCCAATGAAAATTGGTTCAAGGCAATCTAAACCCCTTTTTTACCAATTTTATTTAGATTTTCTTTCTTCTTTTCTTTTTCGGGAGGGGGAGTTTACCTTTTATACTAATTTTATTTAGATTTTCATTCTTTTTTAATTTTTCGGGAGAGGGAGTTTACCTTCTCATAAAGATATGTAGTTGTGATTGGATACGATGACCAGAAATGCTTCAATAATTCCTGAATGGATGTCCAATGCTGAAAACAAGGAAAGCAATTCTATCATGAAAAAGGAATAATGAAAAAGTATGAAAAATTATTTGTTTTAAAAAAAATTGATACATTATTTATGTACTTTCTTGTACAAGCAAGTATCCAACCAGAAGTGTGTTGCTTAAAATATGTACAAAGTAACAAAACTGGGGTCAACTCACATCTAACAGTTCCTCTTTGGTGATGTTTGGCAACCTATCTAGAACACTCTCCTGCGGGTTCTTCCCAAGACGATACTTGGTGCTTGAAATGTTCTGGGTCAATCCATTGAGAACCTATACCATAATATTGAGCAGTCATGCTCTCCTGCATTGAACAGTGATGTGTCTGCAAGCACTCTTTATAGCAGATCACATCATTATTACCACTTGCAAAAATATAATTACCTTGAATGCAACTTCAGGTTTAACTATTGGATCAGTCAATCCAGTGGTTTTAATCTCAGAAATACATGCCCTTAAAGAACCATACGCCTCACTGGCGCTCAATCTGCATTTCATTTGCTTCATTCCCGCTAGTGTATCTCCCAAAGTTCTAAGTGCATTAGCTTGTTGAGAATCAAAGTAGTCGCGTGGATCCTGATTCGAGAATAAAAATTTTTAAAAACCTATGCGATAGCTACTTTAATTCATTTCATTATAAGAAACTCAAACCTTTATACAGAGTGGTGCAAAAGGAAGATCACGAGAAGCCTGGAGATCCTCAATCTCAGCCATCTGTGACATTCTAACCAAACGCTCCTGGTTTGTATTCCCATCAGATGCTTCATTGGCTGACTCAACTGCAAGAAACTTGAATCTGTCATTACGTAGCAATAATTAAAAATTGAGAAAGGAAAAAGACAAAACATGAAATGAATCAAAGAAGGAGAAGTGAGTTATACTAACCCTGCTTGGACCTGGCAAGTGCTTCAGCTACAGCTCTTGTGTCTCCCGACTCCATATCTATACTCAGAATGGTAAAATAAAATTATTACACAAACAAGAAGAAAAAAAGATCTGTGTCCTGTATCCAAGAAAGTTCAACAAATTGCATCCTTTAATATTTGATAAAAGTAACTTTCTTGTACAGATTGAGTTCTAAAAGAATTAACTGGACTTGTCTATTGATATACTTTGATTATTTCTATTGCATACAATAAGAGAGAATACAAAAAAAAAAAACACAATAAAAGACAGTACTCAGAAAAGAAACCACAAACATTTTTTTATCCAATAAATCTGATACTGAAATCTTACATCAGTTAAAGAACTCCTCAACAAAATTTAACTTGCTTTCAAAGTTGGATGCCTAGAAAAGGGAGGAGGGAAGAAGTAGAGTAGGAAGAAAGGGGAAGGACACAACCACCTCCCGCCCCCCGTGTGCTACCCTTTCAGCAAGTCAGCTCTGGTGAATGTTCAGATGCTATTGAAGACCATGTGGCCAGCGGAGAACAGAACTAATGCTATTATTGATGCCCATTTGCAGATTTCATCAGCAGACTGGTTAACATGCTGGTAAAGGATTATTAAAAGACCTGACGTTATGTACTCACATGCAGCATAAGTAAAAAATCATGAAAACCAAATATTGTCCAGAAAACAAATTTCTGAAATATGCTGACTAATGCACCCATGAGCTTTTCACATTTTTTGGCTCCCGAAAAAGGCCAAAATTCTTCTATGCTCAATTTTTTAGCGACTTTTGACAATTTTGGCAGAAGCAAATTTAATGAAAAAAAGCCTTACCGATAGCTCTTCCTTCAAGTACAACTGCCGCATGGCGGTTAAGATATTGCGAAAGAGACCTTCTGTATTGCTCGTACTGTGAGTCCATATCATCCATGCTACCATCACGAGGGAACCCGTGATCCTACGGTTTACAAATGAAAAATTAGAAGTGAAAGAGTACTTTTTATTTTTAAAAAGCATGTCAAGTTAAAATTCAAAACCTTTTAATTAAAATTCTTAATGAAATCAAACATAAGGCCCATATAGAAGTATTCTATCAGAAGTGCACATCCAGGTTCAGCAAGCAAGCATGTGAAGGGTAAAAACATTTTTTGCTTCCAAGGTGAAGTCAGAAACTAATGGGAACCACTTGAAAGAAGAAAGAAAAAGGAAAATCACATCAACATAACATTTTTAAGCCCATGCAACGGCCCACTCATTTGCTAGGTATCAGCAGACAAGGACATGTCACCTGAAAAGAAACAAACCTTTCAGATAACTTTTTGTTCTTTTGAGAGGCAATTATGTATCAAGGGAAGAGTGAAACCCAGCAGCCTCATGCACAGATTGTTTATCAAGGTTGCTGAAATCAGGAAGTAATGTGGGATTGATTTAAAACTGAGTAGCTTGTCAATCTCCCTGTTGCGAGCTACCAAGTCTTTAGAGGTTTTCATCCTCTCATAAAAGTTGATAAAACACTTCAGCTTTCCCTTGCTGTGTCAAGGAGATTCCTTTCTGTCCTTTCTCCACTTCACAGCTCTGAACCATATCATGGCCAGACTGGAACTCCGTTAGCACAAACATGGATGGGAAGGTGGACATAGGATATGAATATGGCATGGACACGAGATAAATAATTTTTTTTAATAAGCACATCTATTATATATGAAGATTATGTAACTTTCATTAAATTTCTAAATTTTGAACAAATTCTTAGTAATATTTAGATTCACCACAAGGAAACATCGACACGTCAAATCCTAGAAAAATAGGATCCCTTGTTATATTCTTGTCATTACAATCATATTTTTGTACTATATTAAGAACTGTCCATCACATGCTTGACTAGTGGTGATGACCATATATAATGCTGATTTTTCTGAGAGAGAGACAAGTTGGGCAATTGAGGTGTGTTCATATTACTTCCAGGATTTTCATGCAAGGTTTCTTTTAAGATGTGTTTGTATTACATAAGACTTGTGTTGGGTAGTCAGTAGTGTATAGAATGTGCCCGCGGCCAAATATCCAAAATAATGAAATTCATTTTTAAACAATGATAGTAAAATTGCTCCATTGTGACCAACGGATCAATGGCCTAACAATATCAGGCCCTTACCTCCCAAAGGGAGGTCAGGGGTTCAAGCCTCCATGGAGGCATGTGTGTGTGAATACCAACTAGGAAAGAAAAAAGTTGCTCCATTGTGACCTAGAGGTGACGGGTTCAAAACCGGAAACAGCATCCCAATGCAGAGGTAAGGCTGCATATATTTGACCCTCCCCAAACCCGCAATGCTCGGAGCCTCGTGCACTGGGCTAGTCCTTTTTATTTTTGAACCGTGAGGTGAAATGCACATATCTAAAAGTATCGATGTGCAACACAAACACGATACATTCATATAAGTGTCTGTGATTCCCATGCGGATTGTAGAATCAACATTTTGTATTGAGAATCATAAGAGTCTACAAATGTTAAAGATATTTTAATAATAAATAGAATTAATAATAATTGTGCATCTTTAGAATCCTTTAATTATACCAACAAACCTAAAACTCATAAAAATATACATAGGGGGAAGAGAGGGGAATGGGGGGAACATTTGGACTAGATATACTTCAACAGCTATCCCTAGAAAATTATGTAGCACATTAACACTTGCACAAATAAAAAATATATATATATTAGATATTAAAACATATAATTTACGTAGATTACACAACAAAATTTTCAGAAATAATTTATAAATGATCAATTGTTTTATAATACCCAAAGGAAATACAAGAATAACATTATATTCTTGTACACTTGGATCAGTAAAATCAAAAGTTGACTCAGGATCTGTGATTTTTGGAATTGTATAATGATTTGACAACAATTCTACCCTCTTGAGATTTTGTAGGAATCCAAAATTGATTCAATAATTTTAAATCGTAAGATTGCAGGATCTAGATCGAGATTTTAACAATCATGATGTTAATACACCAAGACCTAATTCAGTAATAAGATTGCATAATAATGTGTACGATTCAATGTACCGGAAGATGCATGTAATCATCCTGTTCATTAGCTTCAATATCTAAAGTTGGATGAACCCATCTGATCTGCAAACAACACATACCATATAAAAGGGTTAAAGCTTTAAATGCAACCAAAAATTGAGTTATCAGGGAAGAAAGATAGAGCACCTTCTTCCGTGCTTCACTTGACAATATGTCATCACGTTTCAAGAAAACAGCAAGCTCCTCATCTTCCGCGGCCTCAGCTGCAGCAGCAACAGCATTTTTTGTACTGTGAAGGTATTCTGCTCTCCAATATTTAGTCCAGAACTCCTTTTCTGTCATCTGGAAACCCCAACACAACACACAGACAAAAAAGAACGAGAAAGAAAATTCATGACATGTCAATTGAGCAGAAGAGAAATTATATATGTAAAAACAAACTCTTTGACAGTAACAACTGCCTGAAGAAGAGAAAAATGCATTAAAAAAAATCACTTTACCTTGCTGGGAACAAGATTCAGGAAAGCCTGGTGAACAGCTGGTTTCTCAGCAAATATCTATAAGACAATTTAACACAAGGGAGAAATTATAACAAAAAATATATCGATCATCTTAATCATTCTAAACATCATTACCCAAAAAATAAACAAATAAATAACACGTATGAAGTGCACAAAAAAGGAAGCAAAGGACCTTATGAGATCATTTGGAAAGCATATCAATGATTATATAATTAAATTGCCAAAAAATCTTATTGCACGTAATGACAGGAGATTGACTTGTTAGAGGATTTATTTTATTTTAATATTAAGGGTAGTCTTATATTTTCCTTCTTTTTAGCTAGGGCATATTCTTTGTTTGTGTGTGTGTGTGTGTGTGTGTGTGTATTTTTTTAATTCTAAACAGGATTTTTACAACTGAATAACAGAGTAATTTCTCCAAAGTTTACATGGTATCAGAGCGAGTGAGGATTCTGGTCTGAGATTGCATCACAAGATGGCATCCCAAGTTGGTTTTCTCTGCTAGCATCGATCGAGCTCTATTCATCTCTCTGTATTGCAACATCAAAACCCTAGACAAATTCTATCCCAGCACAGTTGCAGCATCAAAAGTTTCTTTTCTGTTCAAATCGCAACTTGACTTTGGTTTTTGATTCTCTGTTCAACCTTGGTTTGTAGATCGCAGCTGTTACACCTTGGTAGCAATAGTTCTTCTCTCTTGCTTCTCTGCTCAAACTAATTGCAGACCTCCTCCTGGGTCGGTTCTTCTCTATTCAAATAAGTTTTGTTCTTCATCGCAAGCCAGTGTTTTCGGCACACTTTTGTGTGTTTGACTACTGTTAATTCATTAGGTATCAATTCTGTTCGGTTGACTACTGTTTGTGGTAATCAACTCTGGTCGTTTTGTTTTGGAAACCTGTGACCAAATCATACTAATCTTCTTCTACTCAAGTGACCATTGCAACTACAGTGACTATTCCACTTGTTTGGGTTCTGTGTTTTCTGTTGCAATTGAAAATTGGGCAGTATCGCATTTGTTTGGCAGATTAATTGATTGAATTATTTTAAAATGACTAGTGGTAACAGTGATTCTCTCCAAGCTATTACTGTGAAATTAATGGGTGACAATTATGCTTATAGGGCATATGTGATGCACAACTTTTTTTTGGGGCAAAAATATGTGGGGTTATATTGATGGAACTGTGACCATGCCCGTGGATACGAAGGCTGAAAAATATGGGTATTCGTTGTCAACTTGGCGCATGAATAACGCAAAGATAATCACTTGGATACACAATTCTGTGGATCAATCTATAGGTATGCATCTGGCCAAATTCTCTACAGCACTATAATTTGGGATTATTTACCCAAGTTTTATGTTCAATCTAATTTTGCGAGGCATTATCAGCTGGAATATGAGATTCGGGCTGCTAGACAGGATGACATGAGTATTCAAGAATTTTATTCGGTTATGACTAGGCATTGGAATCAGTTAGCACTCACAGAGCCTGCAGCACTGATCTCTTATGAGCCGAATCGTACTTATAGAGAGGAGCAGAGATTAGTTCAGTTCTTAATGGCTCTTAGAGATGACTTTGAGGATCTCCGTGGCTCTATTCTTCATCGCAGCCTATGAATTATTAGCAGAAGAAGTTCGTCTCAAGGCTGCTCCAGGCAAAGGACTGCTTCCCTTACCTGCTCAGACTGTTTTGGCAGTTCCACCTAAGCCTCTTTCTAGCACATAGAGCAAGCAACGAAATAGAGTTGATTTTGATGAGTGCAGTTTTTGTCGACAGAAGGGTCCCTGGAAGGCTCAGTGTCCTAAATTGGTGAATAAGGGTATCCGGGAACAGCAACAACAGTTTTCAAAGAATAAGGACCACCACACTACCGTGGTTGCACCGTCTGGGAATGAGTCATCTTCGCTAGATCCTACATTGTCATTGATTGCAGAGAAACTACAGAAACTTTTTTCCACTCATCAACCAAATGCTCTTTCAGTCTCTCCCTCCGTAGGTTTGTCAACTTCAGTTTCCACAAGTATGTCTTGGATCACTTGGGTTTTTTATTTAGGTGCTACGCACCATATTACTAGTGATTGTTCTTTATTCACATCTCTTTTCTCTCTCCCATCAGCTATTGGCTGGTATTGGACCAATTATCTCTTCTAATTTGTTTCTTGCCGATGTCTATTGCATTCTGCAACTTACTTTGAATCTAATTTCTGTTAGCCAATTATTTGATTCTGGATATTCTTTTCATTTCTCTTCGACTCGATGTGTTGTGCAGGATCAACATTCCAAAAAGCTGTTTGGGACAGGCCGTAGAGAGAGGATTATACGTGTTAGAGAAGCTCCATGTTCCAGCTATAGCTGCTTCCTCAGTAAATTTGTCTTCTTTTTGTTCGAGTCCTCATTCGTCTGGTTTTTATTTATGGCATCCCCGTCTTGGACATGTTTCTCGTTTACAGTATTTAGTTTCTACTGGTGTTTTGGGTAATTTACATAGTCGTGGCATTTCAGATTGTAGTGGATGCAAACTAGCTAAATTTTACGTTTTGCCTTTTAATAAGAGTTCTACTATTTTTATGCCACCTTTTTACTTGATTCATTCTGATGTGTGGGGACCTGCTTCCATTTATCCAGATATTGTCTCTTTTATTGATGATTATTCTCGATATTGTTGAATTTATCTTATGAAACGTCGTTCTGAATTCTTTTCTATTTTTAATAATTTCGTGCTATGGTTCACACACAATACTCATCTATTATAAAATTCTTTAGATGTGATTTAGGTGGTGAATATCAATATAGTGTTTTTCTTGATTTGCTAAAAGGTGATGGAACTGTTCTGCAATCTTCTTGTGTTGATACACCTGAGCAAAATGGTGTTGCTGAGTGAAAGCATAGGCATATTATGGAGACAGCTCGTTCTCTTTTGTTATCTGCTAGTGTTCCAAGTGTCTTTTAAAGAAAGGCTGCTTTTAGTGTTGTTCATATTATTAATCGAATTCCAACTGTTGTCACTTCTGATATTTCTTCCTTTGAACGACTTTTTGGTAAACCTCCCGACTATTTTTCATTGAAAGTTTTTGGGCACACTTGTTTTGTTCTTCTTCCTAAAGTTGCTCGTACTAAGTTGTCTGCTCATTGTGTTATGTGTTTTTTCCTTGGTTATGGTGAGGGTCAAAAAGGCTATCATTGTTATGATCCTATTGATCAAAAGTTGTATGTGTTTCGTCATATAGTGTTTCCCGAGCGAATTCCTTTCTTCTCCATTCCTGCCAGTCCTAGTACCTTGAGTAAGCAAGATCTCCTTTACATTGATCCATTTCCTGATGATAGTTCTAGTACTCTTTCCAATGTTCCATCTTCTTCTATCCCAGTGCCTACTCCTGTTGTCTGTCCTCCAATCATTCACATTTACACTCACCCAAATAAAACTCTCTCTTCTACATCTCCATCTCTCTCGGCTGACTCTCCATTAGGTACTGACAATGTGGATCCCACACCACCTCATTATCCTTAGCGAGTGCTTAAATGTCCTGATTGTTTCGGTTTTTCTAATTCTTGTTATTCTTTCCAATTTTTGCTCCTTGTTGGCATCTATTTATTCTCTTTCTGAACCTAATTCGCATAAGGAGGTTGTACTTGATTCTCATTGGCAACAGGCTATGAATGAAGAGCTTCCTGCTTTGCATAAGAATTGCATATGGGACTAAGTGTGGTTGCAAAGGGATTCACACAGGAGTATGGCATTGACTATGAGGAGACTTTTGCTCTTGTTGCTAAAAACGACGACAGTTCATACACTGATTGTTGTAGCAGCACAAATGGGTGTCAAAAATGCCTTCTTAAATGAAGATTTGGCCAAGGAAGTTTACATGGTTCCTCCTGGTCTTTCTCACATAATCATGGAGAAGTGTGTAAACTCAAGGCATTTTATGGTCTCAAACAAGCTCCAAGAGCGTGGTTTGAGAAATTTGTCTACAATGATATGTGGCTTAGGCTTTTGTCCCAGTGCTCATGATTCAGCTCTATTTATTCATTCTACTTCTGCTGGTCGTATTATTTTCCTCTTACATGTTAACGACATGATTGTGACAGAAGATGACACAGAGGGCATTACTATTTTGAAGACACAGTTGCAACATCAGTTTGAGATGAAGGATCTTTGTCCACCCCGCTATTTCCTTGGCATTGAAGTAGCCTATTCCCCCAAGGGCCATCTTCTTTCTCAGTCCAAGTATGCCGCTGAAGTTATTCACAAAGCTCGTCTCACAGATTCTCGGACAGTTTTTTTTTTTTTTACTAAGTAAAAATAACATTAAAAAAGGAATTCAAAAGGGGAACGTGTCCCAATTACAAAAGTAGAACCGGGACTAAAGCCCCAAAGAATCCAAGAAAGTAATTAAATCATCAGAAGAAGAACAAAAGCTCCTCTTCACATAATTGAAAAGAGAACGAAGAATGTAAAGTTTGACCATTGCCGTGGGCGACTCTTTCTCTTCGAACATTCTGCTATTTCTCTCCTTCCAAATGCACTACCATACACAATGTGGTAAAATTCTCCAGAAATCGCGAACGTCACTTCTTTCTCGACAACCTCTCCAAACATGAATTAATTCCTTAGTAGATCGTGGCATAACCCAACACATGCCAAACAACCCAACAATAAGATTCCAACAGTCGTTCACCACAGGGCAATGCAAAAGGAGGTGATCAACGGACTCCTCATCATCCTTGCATAGACAACATCGATTAACGATACAATTGCCCCTTTCCTCAAGTTATTAATTGTCAGAATCTTTCCCCACAAAACGGTCCAAACAAAGAAAGCCACCCTAGTTGGAACTAGAGACCACCAAATAGTTTTCCACGAGAAGTCTCGATTAACAAAAGTAGACAAACATAAGAACAAGGATCTAACTTCGAAGCGCCCGTGGGAAGAAGGAGCCCAAATTAAAACATCATTACCTCTACCAACGCCCCCTTATCGATACAGAAGATCCAGAAAAACACATACCTCGTCCATCTCCCAATCCTGAAAAGAGCGCTGAAAATGCACATCCCACGTAATCCCACTACTATCAAGCCGATAACAGTCAACTACGTAAGCGTGTTTATCAACAGCAATACTGAATAATCTAGGAAACGTACAAGAAAGTGGTTGATCCCCACACCAGAGATCTTCCCAAAACTGAATGCAACGACCATCACAGAGTTTGAATCTGATATGAGCCAAAAAAACATCCCATCCCTTCCAAATAGCCTTCCACGTCCCTACTCCTCCCACCATGATAACCGGACGTGTAGACCAACCTCCAGCCTCTTCCCCAAACCGACAAGAGACTAACCTGCACCATGGACGATGTCTTTCCCTCCCATATCTCCATAACCATATACCCAAGAGAGCTTGATTGAAAGGAACTAAACATCTTATTCCAAGTCCACCCAATTTCACAGGCTTACAAACTTCCTCCCATCTGACAAGGTGGTACTTGAACTCATCGCCCTTTCCTCCCCAAAGGAAATCCCTTTGAATTTTTTCAATCCTATCTGCAACGGACAGTTGAGACTCCTTTAGAGCTCAATGTTCATTACTACTCCACAGATGGAGTCCCTTTGGCTGATCCTACTTTATATCACGTTTTAGTTCGCAGTTTGGTATATCTCCCAATTACGAGGCCTGATATTACCTATGCATTACACATTGTTAGTCAATTTGTGTCTTCTCCTACTACTATGCATTGGGCTGCCGTTCTTCGTATTTTGCATTATCTTCAAGGTAATTTACATCGAAGTTTATTGTTTGCTTCCACTTCTGCTTTGGAACTTTGAGCCTTTTCTGATGCTACCTGGGCTGGGGACATAACTAATCGTAAGTCAACTACTGGCTTCTGTGTTTTTCTTGGTGACACTCTCGTCTCCTGGAAAAGCAAGAAGCAAAAAGGCTCTTGCTCGCTCCTATGCTGAAGTTGAGTATCGTGCCATGGCAGGGCACCTACTACAGCGGAAATCGTGTGGCTCAGATGGTTGTTTAGTGATATGGGTGTTCCTCTTATTGTGCCTACTCCCATGTATTGTGCTAACAAAAGTGCCATAACTCGGTCTTTCATGAGCGCACAAAGCATATTAAGATTGATCGTCATTTCGTGTGCAATCACTTTCAGCGTGGCACTATCTCTCTCCCATTTGTTTATTCTACTCTACTGACTCCTTCACGAAGTCCCATACTATTTTGCATTTTCGTTTTCTTTTAGGCAAACTCTCGGTGCTTACTGTAACATTGTGAGTTTGAGAGAAAAAGAGAGAAGGGGAGGGGGGGGGGGGGGGGGGGGGGGGGGGGTTATTTTATTTTAATATTAATGGTAGTCTTGTATTTTCCTTCTTTTTAGTTGGGGAAGATTCTTTGTCTATATATATTCATTGTAAATAGGATTTTTACGATTGAATAACAGAGTAATTTCTCCAAAGTTTACATGAATAAGTTGTAGCTAGAAACTCAAGTTTTCCAGCATGAATGAATGTACAAGTTTATAACTACATTATATTTTTTTTGATAAGTAAATGTATATATATATGGATATATAAGGAACTAGTGTGATTTATTAAATAAAACAATAGCACTGGGCACTGCCTTGAACTTACAGAAAATTACATTCACATTTGAAAATCAACTTACATCCACAGTTTAAATTTCTGAGTCTTCTGACCAAAAGAAAAAATTTAAAAATGTGTTTACTAATATGAGGCACTGCCTTGAACCTACAGAAAATTACATTCACATTTGAAAATCAACTTACATCCACAGTTTAAATTTCTGAGTCTTCTGACCAAAAGAAAAAATTTAAAAATGTGTTTACTAATATGAATCGGTAATCAAACGGTCCATTACTGAATTAAGCTGCAATGCTTGACCAATATACAAAAAAGGAAATGCTAGTTGTGACGAATCGGCCCAAGCCGGCAAGGCACAGCAGCATTGTGGGACCCAACAAGTTTGCTGAGTCTTGTCAGCTTGGGCCAAATATTTTGTAGCATGGCCCTGAACAAAAATATTTTGTAGAAACAAACTGAAAGAGAAGGACCATACCTGATGAATAATCTCGGGCGTCAAGTTAAATGTAACTCTATTTGACTGAAAACACAACAAAGTAACAATTAAAAATTCTACTCGAGAATGTGGCAAGAAACTACATAAAGATCGTGCTAGCTACTTGTCAAAAAAAAAAAAAAAATCGGGCTAGCATATATGAATCCCATGTAATCTAGCCAGGAAAGAGAAATTAAAAATTCATTGTACAGGTTCATAATAACCAAAAAATCTGTTGAGAGATAAAACTATAGGATTTCAATTAAAGCTTATGTTGTAATCCAAGCATTGAACTGACATACAGAGGCAAACAAAAAAATGCAAATGTGCATGAGCACAAGCAAAGGGCAAGTGGACATGGTGCAGACACACAGTATATGAGAGCAAAGAAAAAATGCAAATGTGCATGAGCACAAGCAGACACATGACACGCACACAGGAAATGAGAGAGAAAAGGAAGAGGGGGGGATTAGGGGAGAGAGAGAGAAACTATACCTTACCATCAGAAGATGGTTTAACAAGCCAAAGAATGTCGTTTGTTAACCCCACCCACTGTTTTGGCAATTTGCAGGCATCCCCGCCTAGCAACTTCTGCAGTTATTTTGCAAATGGAAATTTTTTTTGTTATCTATTTCCCAATAATAATTCTAATCATCAACGAAACAGAAGCTATATATGAGTTTCAACTGGAGTAAATACGAAGAAATTAACTGTTACACAGTTCGAATGACAAGCCATGCGTACAAATGATGACTTATCGAGATAGAATTTTAATCAATAACTAACCTTCCTCGTTGCCCAAAATTCAGCTTCTGTCAGGACACCTCTCATCACAAAATGTTTATGAAGTCTCTGCAACTCGCTGTGAATAGTATCTTTCAGTAATATCAACATTAATGGAAATTTAGAAGTCCGAAACTACGTACCACACTTAGCAGAAAACAATCCAAACACAAACATTTCAATTAAGAGTTGATGCCATTATTCTCTCAGTTAAGAGTTGACATATTATGAGAGATGCTATTATTCTCATAATATGTCAACCATTATATAAAAATTATCACCTGTGGAATCTCAAGTAAGGTGCTTAATAATTCCCCCTGCAATGAACATTTTAAAATAACTCCGGCATGACAGTTTTTAAAATTCAGAGTTTATGCTATTATTCTGCTTTTGAAATGGATGGAATCCCAGTCCTCCAATTCTTTACTTTCAAGATTTGTCCCTTCTATATAGTACCCTCTGTCCCACAAAAAGTGTCCACCTTTCCATTTTTAGATGTCCCAAAATAGTTGTCCCCATTGACAAGTCAATGTACTATTTGTTGTAATATTACCAATTTAACCTTCTTGCATTAAATTTATAGAAAGTAAACCATCACATCACTCTGGACCCACTATGGGTAAATTTGATAATTCACTCACTACCAATACAATAAAAAAACATTAAAAGTCATCAACTTAAAAAGTTACATTCCCAAAAAAGGACACTTATTGTGGGACGGAGGGAGTAAAATTTTGCCATACCAATGAATCAGTCCGCATCAATGATAAAACGCGAACAAGAAAAAAAATCAATCAGTCCCGATTAGGATATTATCATTTTTTGTACCAAAACCACTTGACTTGACCATTTCATCCATTTAATTCCTCTCAGATGGGTTAAACAATGAAACGACTTCTCAGAATGTTCACAAAAATATTAATATTTAAGTTGCATGGTTGAATTGCATCTGAACAAACTGTTTTTGTCTGGGTGAGGAAGTAAATTTACCTATCCTCATTCAGTAGCTTCATTCGACGATCCATTTCTGCTTTGCTAAGTTGTTCATCCTGAAGTGTAACAGCAGATCTCTCAGAATTAGCTTTCCCTACTTCTCCAGACTTTGCAAGAGCTCTGGCTGTTCAAGAGGCACCAAATGCAACATTTAAAGGTCAACAATATCAAGCAATATGTTATGGGATTATATATAAATATTACCCAATTAAATATAAGAATAACGCAATCAAATGTTGCAATGATATGCAGCAAATAGTTATAAAGATGAATCCAAATCTTTCCAAGTTTATTTATGAAAGAGAGTGGTGCAAGGTAGGCAGAAGTATAGAACTGTAGAAGCATTGTCTAGAAAGTCCTAGTCATGTGGTCTCAAGTACGAATCAGCAAATTCAGCACAAAGCAGTGATTTTCTAAATCACGTAGACGAAGCACAGCAGCTTATTAATGCCAACAAAAATGATTGCTTTATACAAGGACACAAGATTTCGAACAGACTTGTTCTAAAGAAGGCAGATAAGCTAAACCAAACAAGAAAAAGAGTTAGTTGCTCTAAATTTCTATAATATATGAGTCTTCCAGACATTAATCTTCTCGAATAACCTCAAAAATAGGTGAAGATATAAAATACTCCATCTATTTATCTACATAATGGCTTGAGTTCCATGATTCATTCCCAAAATTTAGACGAAAGCATGGGCCATTATCATAAGAACAGATGATATCTAAGGAAGAAAAAAAATAAGAACAGATGATAGAAGTGAAAACCTGAAAAGAAGCATCTAAATGAAATGCCGCAAAAAATAGAGGGGGGAAAGGATTGCACATGCACACAAACATGACAGATAAAGAATCATGATAACAAGACAGCAAATTTAGGTGGCCTAATAGCACAATCTTAAAATTCTGAAGCAAATTGAAAGCAAGTTTAATATAAGGCTGAAAATCTTATACATCTAGATGGAAGCCATGATTGAAACTTACCTGTAAATTCTCGGCAAACATCTCGATCAGAAAAACTTTCGAACTCAAAAATGTAATTTCCACCCTGAAATAGCAAATAGTTGAAAGTTTCACGTTTCAATCATAATAAATGGGGAACATTAAAATTTTAACTCCATCTCAACTCAATTCAACAAAGCCTTTGGGTTCAAGAACATGAATCCTCTTCCGCCATTTTTCTCTATTTGAGACCATAGGCTCAGTTAAAACATATTCTATCATATATATCCTAACTATCTCAACCCATGTTAATTTTGGTCTTCCTCTTCCTTTAACTTTATCATTACTGTTAATAAGGATCAAATCACTTTTCGTAACGGATGCATTTATTGTCTGTTGAAAAGCATGATCAAATCACCTTGACCGAATTTTCTCATTTTATCTCCAACATATGCTATTTTAACCATCTTACGAAGGTGCTTCTTTCTAAATCTATCATTTTTTGTCTTGTCACACATCTATCTCAACATTCACATTTCTACCTCATTCATTTTATGAATACGTTGTTTACTAGTCATCCAGCATTCTATCTCATACAATATGGATGGCCAAACAAAGGTACTATAAAATTAACCTTTCGGTTGAGAATATACACCGGTTAAACAATATGTCAGAAACATTCCTCCATTTAACCCATCTTCCTCTAAATTTATAATTAGCGCCGTCTAGAATTTCTCCCTATTGTTGTTCATAATCGAGCCTAGTAAGGAAAAATGTTCACCTCTCGGTGTCTCTTGATCCTTGATTTTCGTTACAGCCCTAAGACCATTTCTAGGTTTACTAATATTACATTCCATCTATTCAATTTCAGACCTATGCAATAGGAAAAGAAAAAAAATATTATTGAGACCTATTCATATTAAATTCTCTTGATTCTAGAGCTTCTCTCCAAATCTCTGATTAAACACTTATCACTGCTATAGTTTTATCAATTAAAACAACATCATTAACAAATAGCATACACAATGGAATCTCGTCCTTAATGTGTTTTGTTAGCTCAATTATAACAAAGGCAAAAAGATATGGACTTAATTGTGATCCTCAATGTAAGCCTATAATAATTGGAAATTCATTTCACTCGTCTCTCACTTTCTCCCACAGTTGTTCATTCTTATGATGAATGCAATGTCGGCATACATATTCTTTAGCGCATCAATATATCAATTTGTAACCCCTTTAAGAACACTATCATAAACTTTCTTCAAATCAGTAAAAACCACATGGAGATCTTTATTTACCGCCATAGAATTCCATTAATCTCCTTAGGAAATAAATAAATTTCATTTTTCACCTCGGCGATAGAAATCCAAATTGACTGTCTGAAACTCTAATTTCATGCCTTACTCATTGTACAATATGACTCGTTATTTTAAAACTCACATAGTTTGTACAACTTTTACTATATCCTTTATTTTTATATAAAAAAAGGTTATTGCCCAATATGGCCCCCGTTAATCCAGGATGTTGGGACCGAGGGATGGATTGATTATAGTGTTAACCATTGACATTATCTGCACAAAGTGGCTAAACTTTTAAGTGCTAGTCATAAATTAAAATTTCCTTTAATAAAGTTCTGAATTTTAAGTGTTCAATGTTCAGTAATAAGTTATGTCTCTCTCAATTGAAATTTTACCCAATTTTAAGTGGCACATATTCTTTTAAATGCTATCCATATTGCATAATCAAACGTATTTAATTGAACAGACAATTAATTTATTCAGAACGAAGTATTGAATATGTAATCAAAAATACCTTAAGCAAACTATTTTATTTTTATTTTTTATAAGTAAAAATTCATTGAAAAGCACCCAAAAGGGGGACGCGGCCCGGAACAACTGCACAAAAACTTAAGCCTTAAGCTATTCACAAAAGACAAAAGAACCTCCGTAGATTTACAATTAGCCCCTTGAACCCAAAAGAATAAAGAGCTAAGAACAGAATATCTAACCACCCCACAAGCAGACTCCGCCCCATCAAAAGATCTCCTATTCCTCTCCCTCCAAAGAGTCCACCATAAAGCAAACTATACTTACCCTTCTGTTATAGTGCCTACCAACTCCATCCATTTAACTGTCAATGTTCCTTTGGGATTGTTTGGTAATCATTTTTTTTTCTTGTTTATTGTTCAATGTTAAACGCTAAAAAGTATATATGTTTTTTCATTTATTAATTAACAGAAATTTTGTTTGATAACCCAAAAATGCTGAGCTTGTTTTGAAAATAAAAAAATAGAGAATATTGTTTGTTAACCTTAAACAGTTTGAAAAAAAATATATTGAACATGGTATACAAAAAACATTGCATTTGCAAGACATGTTTTACCTCCCTTCATTGGAAAGAGGTTCAAACCTATAACTTTTAACATGAGAGCATATTTTCCGCAACTTTTCAAATTTGTATTTTGTAGTGTAACTGAATGTGAGAGCAAAGGAGAGGGGGCCATTGAGTAGCTAAAGATTGTATTGATTTTATGACCAAAATTGTGCTATGTTATACATGAAAGCTCAAATTGCTCAAATTGTACTATATACACGTACAAGATATCATGTTTGATTTACAGATCTTCCCATAATCATCTACACAGCAGCAAAAATTGACAAAAAATCATGACTACCAAAAATTGAGCTTGCTCTATTATTGACTGGAAGAAATACTCAAATACTTGCATATATCAAGCTTTCCCTATTTTAGGCGCTGCTCAAAAGGAAGAAAAAAGAGCAAAAAGATTGTAAAACTCAAATATGAAACTGAGAAAAGGTAATTATATACAAGTATCGAACATGTACAAGGTTTTAAGGAAGGAAGCATATCTCCCCTGAACAAGAAGGAATAAATTTCTGAACATTTACTGGTAAGGACTTAAGAAATAATAATAACCATTGAATTTTTAAACATGTACAAGGTTGATCATATACAAGATTAGAAAATAATAACAAGTACTGAACATAATGCCATCAAATAAGATGCCTTGCATCCAAATATGCCATCAAATTTTGCAACCATGTAAGTCTGCAAGGAGAAGATGCATCGCATCCTACTATGCCACGAAAGAAGAAAATGCCATGCATGAACTGATACTATGAAGGATGACATATGCAAACATAATATACCACAGGCATTATGAACTAATTCCCCTTTATTATAATGTTCAATGTTATACAGAATGATTCTTTTAAACGAAAGAAATAAGATGCGAAATGTTTAGTGCTGCAGTGTTTTTACTTGGTGCTGCCACAGTGACTTCTTAAACAAAACAACCATAAACAGCTTTGTGCTGTTTATTCTTTCACCCTTTTTTTCCCTAAGCAAGATTTAATTCTGCAACAAAAAGCTACAAGAACAAAAGAGGGCAACCCCTCTTATAGACAAGGACAACCCAAAAAATAAATAAATAACCATTTCCATAAACCTGTTGATAAGAACAAAACTAGAAGAAATAAAATAGGTTTTTCACCACCTACAACACCAACTAAACCAAAAAAACAAAGTTATCACACCAACAAGAAACCCACCCCCGCACCAGCAGCCACTTAGACTCCAAGCTGATCCAAAACATCCAGCAAGGACAGATCCATAGCAGCAGCAACATTCCCGGTAACACATTTAGCAACTAGCTTGACATTCTGAGGAGCACTATCATGAAGGTGTTGGTTTCTATTTAACCAAATTCTCCATATAAGAACGAAAAAACTTGAATACAGACCCTATCTTTCCGGTTTTTATATTTAAAGTTTGAGCTGAATCATTTAATCAGCTGATCCATGGAAGAGATATTACTTCACCTCCACTTGAGTGTATCAGCAAGCCAAGACCAAACATGTTGAGGAAAGCTACAGTTCCAATATAGATGGTCTATAGAATCTTCTCCCTTCAAACAATTATAACAAACAGGTACCTACACATATACCTCTGTTTTGTAAATTCACTAAGGTTGAGATTTTATTTTGAATAGCCAAACAAGTTGTTGGTCTAACCCCACTCCAGCATGTGTTATCCCAGTGATGTTTAGGATAATGAGTTCCTCAGAGCTTCCAGAAAGCTTTAAAGAATTTAAACCATGTTTCCATAGGATTTTATCAGTCCCACAATGGATAGTAGTATTAGTAATGGAATGCCAGATCATCTCAGCCTCGGGAGACAAATAGCTGGGTTTCTTCCAAATCCCATTTTTAATGATTTCACTGATATTGGCAGCTTTTCTTAGATCAAATACTTTCACGATTTCACCATTTGGCAACAGTAAATTGTCTAACAATGTTTAACCCATTTTAATAAGATAAACAGATTATCACACAATGTTTAACCCAATTTTTCGTTTACAAAACAATAAACATTAAACATTAACACTTGCCAAATGCCACCTATACTCCAATTCCCTAACCCAAACTACAATCTTAGGCTAGCTTCTTTATCCAGGCTCGTCTGGAACCCTTGCACGCTTTACACCACACCCAAGTATCATGCAATGCCCTTTGCCCCTTTTCCAAAACATTCAGAAGCTAATGCAGTGTATCATTTAAGGAGAATGTGTTAGTGTTTACTTATACATTCTTAGGATTCATGTTAAAAGTTTAACACTTGTTATGCTGCCTAAACAACCCTCCTCTTTTTCCGGAATTGGGACCAGCAGTCCAATAATGATGTAATAAACACGACACATGCTTGGGAAACAGCAATATCTGTTTGCTAAAAAATACACAAAGTAAAGGTATGAAAAAACCATAAATAGTTCTCAATAGGCAATGAGCCCTCTCAGATGGAAAGAAAGAATAATAACTTCATGAAGGCTCAAAAAGATAAAAGAAGATATTGTGAAGTAGTAATATTCTAGTAACAAAACCTGATCTTGGGTGAGATTAAGTAATGGCGGTTTACCGGAATCCTCCTTTGTGTATTTGTGGCCTGAACATTCACAAAAAATAGATGCAGACGTTAACAACTTTATTACACAACAAAATGGTATGAAAACTACAAAATGTGGACAATCTGTTTTTCTTTTTCCTTTTTTCTTTCTTTCTTTTTTTTTTTTTTTTTTTGCATGGATTTTGGGATGGGGGTTCGAGGTACTAGAGTTAAACTCCTTAAGATCGTGGGTAACTTGGATTTTATTTTTTTTATTTTTATTTTTATAAGTGACTTGGAAATTATTCAAAGGAAAAAAAAGAGAATGGAAGGATAATCACTTCCCCATAGTAGTTCAAAAATTTTAGCCAGTGACCACCATAGATACTTTTGGATATTATTAAACTCTCCATAACTATTTGCAAAAACATGACTTTCAATATTACAAAGAAAGGAACGACTATAAGTGACACTGAGAAAACCCAAAGAGCTGATTAGTATTCCATCCAAAGGTTTGGGGTAACAACATAAACAGCTTTGCTTGATTCTGTTCTGCTTTTAAGTTTAAGATGAGGTTTTTCTTAATTTACGATAAAGTTCGACTTGTTAAAGAAAGCAAACTTTGCTTGATTCTGCTTTACAGTTTAAGACAAGGTTTTGCTCACAAGAGCAGTAAGTTCCCAAACAATTGATCCATCCTCTACAATCTCTTTGGCAATAAACTATTGTTATCTTGTATTCCTCTCTCTTCTTCTTCTCTGTGTCCAATAATATGTCTTGATTTATACATATGGGGAACATATATATTAATGAATAAATCCCATTTCTAAATGCCTCTAAATCAATAAATTGAAAGTAATCATCTTCCAGCGTCAATTAAATTTAAACTCCAGACAATATTAACAAACAAGTACCTTTAATTAATCTAAACTCCACATTAATCGTTGCTGAAGAATTTGGATCATTAGGCATAAATACAAACTTGTCCTTTGTCTGCACAAGGTAACAACAATTAAAATTGGTAAAAAAAAAAAAAAAAAAAAAAAAAAAAAATCATACTTCGTCAATAAAAATGTCAATCCCCACCCACCCTCCAAAAATAGTAATGATACCAATCCTGAACCCATAAAAAAAAATAATAAAAAATAAAAAAACCAACCACCACCCAATTCTCGTAACCCCTTATGATACATTATGCCTCTAGCATTGCAATGTCATTATTGTGCCTAGATTCTGGAACTGTTCGCATGTGAAGACACGAATATACACATATTTATATGTCCACACGCATATCCATATAGTCCAGTAATTTTTTCATAAACGTATACAAGAAGGGTTCAAAAGATTTACCATCTTCAGCACACCTGAGACACCAGGGCCCTTGACAGAAGTCTTATACTTGGCACGCTTTATAACCTGCCCATCAGCCATTCGACTTGATCGATACACAAACAGGAATGATAGTTAATCAATTTGATAATTGTTACGGTGATCGGAGTTCCAAATGAATATGAGTGAACTGGAGAGGTCTAGGGCAATAAAATATCAGGATCAATAACAGATTCAAACGCTCGATCTAGGGTTTATATTTATATATATAGATTAATATATTATGTAAGTATGAATAATAGCCTGCTTGCACACGGTTGGATGAGAGTTGGGCAAAGAAGTGTCTCCGTCGTAATCTTGGAAACTCACATTCATTATTCAGGGGCGTTTGCTTATATAGGCAAACATATACGGAGTAACATAATTCAGTGGTCGAATGTTGTGAGTTGAATGACGAAAATATCCTCGGGACTGGTGATGCGTCGCACATAATTAATTTAAGAAAGAAAAGAAAAAGAAATAAAAAGAAAACATAATATTAGCTATGATATGAAAGAAAATATATTATTAGTTATGATAGGAAAATATATATATAAATATGCTAATAATTTCTAATTATGTTTGAATAGATACGAGAGAAAATAAAAGAAATGATAGTATTCTTGTTGATAGAGGGGAGAAAAGAAGAGAAATGATAACAACCAAATTATTATCATATCCTTTTAAATTGAAGGAGTACGAGTGGAATAATAATTTTTTCTTTTTAATTGTTGAGATCAATTTCAGGATTATGAAAATACTAATAAACAGTATTACTTCTTTTTCTATCTTCTTATTTTTTGAAAGATAGGAAATGAGTATCCCTCGTAGCCCTGTGTATCTTTTCATTTCTCACACACTTAAGGCATATTTTTTATTTTCTTTTCTTTCCCTATCCCTCCAAATCATCCCATCCAAAAGCACTCTAAGTTTTTTTTGGGGATGAGAATAAAAAAAAGGGGTAAAATTATTGGACTATGTGTCTTGATGAAAACCCATAATAAAAACCCAAAACAACACAAATAAGCCAAGCAAGGCCAAGAACTATAAAAGATATCTCTAATAATAGTTTTCTAAATTATTGAGAATTGTTTTAAGAATTACAAACCAACCAGATCCAACTTTGATAACAATTTTTTGTTTTCATAAAACAGTAAATTGTGTAAAAAATTCTACTTGGTTCAGTTTTTTTAAAACTATTTTATAAAAACTCAATTATAAAAAAATATTTTTTAGATAACTGTCTTTTATAATTATCTGAAAACAGTTTTTCTATTCTCTGAATTTTTTATAACTGTTTCTGACACCAAAAGAAAAACACACACACAGGGAGAAACCTAAATCAGTACTGGTAATTTTGTTCAATTTATGTTAATAAATTTCACTATAAAGGCGATTCGGTTTGCAAGAATAATCGAAGGAGAGAAAGAAGAATTGGGACAAGGGTTTGATTGAAGAACGCTTGAGAATGTGACAATGGGTGCATCGTTGAGATCTTGATGTGGGTATGAAAAATGGTGGCATAAGCAAGGGATGCTTGTACTTGATTTCCTTCAAAACATTAACTGGTTTGAAAGTTACTCCATATAATGGGGTTGAATAGGGACACAGTTCTCCAAAAGGAACAATTTTTTTTTTTTTTTTTCGGTAGAGGGAGTATAGGACAACAACAAAAATATTCCTGAGTCACCAGATAAATTAAAAACCCATAATTTAAGAGTATAAAATTATATTATATGTCTAGCTTGTTGCGATCAGACCACCCTGCGTATCCGGATGGCACACCCAGACGCCTCCGAACCCGGCACTTAGCATGACACCGAATCAAGGATCGGGTCTGACTACGATACCAATTGTAACAGGTGGGTGCTTCGCGTTCCGACCCAAAAGGCTAAGCTATTAGATTGGACTAATACATAACCCATATATACCGAATCCACTCTCCCATCTGGATCCGATGTGGAACAAACTCCCCCTTGTTACAATAGGACTACCAAAATAATTTTATTTATTACAAATTTTCAACACGGTAGCCAGTTGTCGTTGATGCCGGTGGCAATAACTTGTGGCAGATTCAGGCGGCGACAGCGGTGAAGGACCTATTTGTCGAGGAGCTATTGTGATACCCCTCGGATCCGAGACACGGGTTGATCAGGCCCAGGCCCAAACCCGAGGGAATATCAAACAATTAAAGTATTTTAAAACGAACACAGATGACAAAATGAAATAATAAAGATGGAGATAAAACTGAAAGAACATTTAATTATAAAACCCTCCATGCATAACTGAAATAATAAAACTCCAATCCTCAAAAAACTTCAAGGTTACAACTTGGGAATCCACTGGTGGACCCCTAACCAAAAGTTCAACTGAAACTGAAAATTTAAAATAGAAAATGCTAGAAACATTGAGAAAATCCTACGTAATCAGATGAATGTGAGACTGTCCTTGACAAGCACGACCAAGCTCTAAGGCTGAAACCGTCTTGTACCTGAAAAGAATAATAAATGAGTGGGTCAGACCCACGAGCAAATTCTAATCTAACTGCAATCCATACAATGACCCGATATGCAGATACACCGCAGACACCTCACAATATCTATCTAGTCCATACGTATAAATATATCCACACTAAGGGACATTCACTAATCTATAATAGGGGTCTCAACCTGAATAGAAGGCAACATGCGAATACGCACCCAAAGGTGGGCATGAGTACCTAGACCTAATAGGGTACACCTCAATTTATTATAACCAGCTACGCATCCGCCGCATATACGCACCCTAACCAACGAGTCTGAGACTCAAGCTCAGCTCGTGGTACCATAAACATATATATAACATCCATCCAAATCCAGGGTATGTAGTTCAAATATTTAATAAACTGACATACAACAAACCAACTGGTTAGTCACTCAACTTATTCAGTTGATGTGACTTAACCTCCGTCCATTAATCCAGGAAGCCACTCAACTTAGTTGCAGTTGACATGTCTTAACCAAAATTAGGATTCAATATTTATAAATCCATTCCTTAAATCCGTTAGGTTAGGTTTAGGTGTTTGGAGCTAAACCGTCACCAGTATGTCACCGTCCCATACCGGTGCATACCATCCTCCATACCCAGGTAAGTTACAATGTATACATAATGAACAAGTAATTTACAGTCCAAAACCACCATCCAAATAATTGTAGAAAAGTATTTAAGATTTCAGCAATTTAAATCCCAGAATTAAACTATATAATTGCAGGAAACAGTTTAATAGTTTACACAACTAGCATCCAAAGCATGCATAGACCCAATCCAATATATCAATGACTCTATCATGCATTTAGAACAAATTCTATAATCCTATTATAGTCCAACAAATTGCTAAATTAACCTAAACAATTTATTTCGTCCCATCCGATAACAGTGTACTAAGTCATACGCTTTTATACTGTTTTATTCTTTATCTTAGAGACTTAAACCATGCATCAACTAGTTTAATCACACTTAGAATCAAGTAATTAAATCCTCTGAAAAGTCCCCACAATCCATTAGAAGCATCCCAAGGCTCAAACAGTGTCCAGAATACCAAACAGTGCCTTAAAAACTAAAAAATAAATAAAAATTAATCGTATATTGCAAAGGGAGCCTGCTCCAAATTTTGGGAGCAGGCTCTTTCAGCCTAGAGCTGGCTCTAGGAGTCCTTAGAGCTAGCTCTACTTGTTGTGGGAGCCGGCTCCCACATCCATGGAGCCGGCTCTCACCTCCTTTGAGAGCCTCTGTCCCCGTTGCTTCGTTTCAGTCCGTCTGCTCCATCTCTGATCAATTCCTACCACTCTGTTGGTTTCTAAAACTAATATTAGGAGTCTTAATTTAGTCTAGAAGCATCCCCCAAGGTTATTTACAATAATTTTGAAAACAATTACAGAGTTTAATCAAGCCACTTAAACTAGCATGCTTGGAAAACAATACTGGAACAGGTTTCAGAAACTTTCAGTTCTCTACTGAACCCTCTGTTCCTCTTCACCACTGAACCTACGGATCTTATATCAATCCCAATAACATCCCCATGGTTCATTTACAGAGTCTAAAAAAAATAATCCAAAGACTAGAGTTACAACAGAACAACATGCTTAAAGAATAGAAAACTGAAACGAGCCATGCATGAATTGTAACAAAACGGTTTTCAACATAAACAGATCGTTCATATGACATATATTAAACATATATCTTCCAATTATTGATTGATTAAACCCTAGAGATTATCTAGGTGCACAGAACACGAGCCAAAGAGAATGAGAAATAAAAGAACTTGCCTTTGAGTTTCAGACTTGAAACTCTAAATTCCCAGTTTCTATATTGCCCGTTCAATTCCCCACTGCTGTTCCACAAACCCACGTTCCTTCTACCTTGCTCCCACATATTCTTCCTCTCCTATCTCTCTCTATTCTCCCTCTGTATCCCACGGTCTCTGTTTTTTGTTACAGAAATTACGTTTAATTATTCTAAAACCCTAAACCACCGTGACACACATACTTATAGGCTTAGTGATTAAACCCTAATCCATGTATAACTCGGCCCATAAAAACCTAGGTTATACTCACTGTCGGCTCATAAAGCTATCTAGGTTATAAGATACTCGGCTGCATACGCATAACCTCTTAGGGAACCCTACTGTTTAAAATTAGACCAATTATTAATTTATTTTACTACAGTAACTTACACTAATTTAGTCTATAATTTAATCTAATTAAAACATTTAAATAAACCAATTAAACATTAGAAAGACCAAACCAATCCAATTACAGAAAATAAGAAATAATTAAACAATAAATACCAATTAAACAATTAAAACACTTAAACAATAAATGCCAATTAAATACATGTCACATAGGTAAACAATTAAATAAAATTAATAAATAAAAATAATCAAACCAAATAATCACGCAAAAATACAATAAAAATAAATAAATAAATGCCGAGACTATCCTTTTAAAATTAGGGGTATTACTGCTATGTTATCTATTATTGTTAAATCTATGCATGTGGTGTGTATATTGTTTTTTTTTTTTATTTAACTGGCTTTGTGTTGTGGTTGTTTGTTAATATAATGTGGTGGAAGGCTATAGATGATATAGAGACTATGGTGAGGACAGGGAAGATGGTGAGCTTCAAAATATTCTTGAATTAAATTAATCGTGTTAATATTATAAATTAAAAATACTAATTAGATTCTAAGTAAAAGTATTTTTGCTCAATCACAGTTTAGGTATTTTTGAAATTTAAAACTTATTTAATTGAAGGACTTTTCTCTGGAAATTTTAAAGGAGGTTAATTACATTTTTTACA